AATGGAATGCTTTGTCAACATTGCAGAAATGGCACTTTAGCATATACTTCCTTCACAGCATTCTAAGCTTGATTGGGTCTCATGGATGCGTATTTTCAGTCTATTTAATTTCCCCCAATTGGTTTAGTGCAGTAGAAAGGTGTTTGTGCAATGTGATGCTCAGCCTTTTAAGATGTTAATGAACTTCCACAAGAGCATATTGGTCATGCGTTTTTTTCTCCATAAACCGAAACACACTTTATTGGAAGTAAGCCCTATTTGTTCTGGTGAAACTTCAGTTTAGGATTGCAGACTTAATCTTTCTGGAAAGCAAGTTTAAGCCAAAGCTAGGCCTAGCTAAGAAACGAGAAGAAGAAAATACCGGTAATTGTCTTGTGAGACCAGGCCAAAGCTTCTAACCCATCATTATCTTCAGAGGCTAACAAGATGCCTCATTTCCCAACAGCTTTCCATGAACTAGGGAATAATGAAACAATTCACTTTTACAGAAGTATAATGCATGAATAGTTTTCGCTCTCTCTTCTCCTGCCTTAAACATTCTCAACACCTTTTGGCCCATATATATACTTAAGAATGAACAAAGTCTGCAATTCTAACCTAACTTAACTGCTAGCAGGGCCAACTCTCATTGCAATCAATGGGACTTGCTTCCAAATGAATGGGTTTAGGATTGGGGCACAAGGCTGACAGCATATGCAAACACAGCAAAGCTTTCTGAAAACCAAAAAAAAAAAAAAAGCATATTAACAACCTTGGTGATCTTATGCTTGGGATCATGTTTGTAATGCTGTTTATAATGTTCTGTAGTCCATTTCCAACTGGAGCTCAGACAAATGTATTGAAGGTCTTGTCTCTGTTCAGAAAAAATTATCTTGTTAAAAGCATGATCTGTTTGCAATTTTTATAATGTTTAGTGTTGTGTAATTTTTCTTTTTTTAAAAAAAGAGGCACAATTAAAACATTGATTTTGTTTACTCCTGTCACCCTGGGGCCCGAGCACTTCTATTCAGATACAAACTCATCAATGTATGCAACATCCTTTGTAACTGAAAATAAATTGTGAAGAGAAGTTCTGACAGTATGCTGGCTTCTGTGTGTTTTCTGTCTGAGGCACTTCGCTCATAGACCGCTAAGTAACATTAACTACAGCTCCCACATAAGCTTTCTTACTCGTTTGAAGTAACAGAAATATCCATACTAGTAACGAAAATGTTTTATTATTTCAGTCAGCAACTGTAGGTTCCAACAGAACCCCCTCAGTTAGGAGTTCTAATCACTACATCAAGAAAAAGCCCTTTGGAATTATGACTTAACAAGAAGATAAAATTAAATATAGTCTAGCCTATTTGCCATTATCTGCTCAAGAACTGCTGCTTCATGCTTCCCAGCCTCAAAGCTTTAGATCCATATAGGTGCTTAAGAACAAACTAAGGACACAATCCCAACCTCATTTATCTGGGTGAATACTTCAGAGCTTCACAATATTCTAAAACATTAGTTGCTGAGCCTTGATATTTCTGCAGTCTGCCCCTGGTGTGCCCCCAAATTTGTTCTAGAGAGTTGGGGGACTCATGAGATTTGGGGGGGGGTTCAGGAGGGAGAAGTCCCATTCTGTTCATGCAATGTTGGATATCTCCCAAAGTACTACCTAATGAGTGACAGGCTACATAATGAGCGAGCATGCAAAGTGTTACCCACAGGAAAATGGTTACTGGTCAACCCTGGTCTCTCTGTTTAGAAGTGTGTAAATAGATTAGACCAGTAATTCCCAAACTGTAGACTGGGGTCAAGTAGTGTTCCATTACAGGTGGCTAAAAAGACTCCTTGGGCTCTTCATCACAGGAGATGCCTTCTGTGTTCCATATACATTTCTCTGACCATGGTTCCTTCCACTTGGCCTTTTCTCTTCCTTCATTGGGAGTGGTAGGGTTCTTTAGTCATGCTTAATGTAGAAATGCTACAGAACCACCCAGCCACAGAAGTAAGTATTGTGTGTTTTATAGCATTTAAGTTGAACGTATCTCAAAGCTTGCCTTCATGCAATGAGTGGAACTTTAGAGCAGGACCTGAGTGTAACAGCACACACTCTCCTTGCAATTCCCAGGAATTGGTATTCAGAGGCATATTGCCTCTGATAGTGGAAGTAGTGCAGAGCCATAATAGCCTGTAGCCATTGATAGCCTTAGCCTCCATTAATTTGTTCAAACCCTTTAAAAAGTCATCCAAAGTCAAAGAATGTCCTTGGTAGTTTACCTTGTTTAAATGTTTTCTTTTTTGTTAATCTGTCCATTTCTGGCATCACCACACCATTACACTCTCCCATTAGTATTATTTTCTGATCAACAGTTTCTACCAATCTTTCTTCCAACCTCTTACAGAATCCCGCCTTATTTGTGTTTGGAGCATAGATCCCCACCACGTTCAATTTCTCCCCCTGATAAGTAATTTGTACCACAATTACTCTCCCTTCTTCATATTTCAAAATTAATTTAGGCTCCCATTTCTCTTTAATATACAATGCCACACCTTTTTTATTAACATCTGAATTAATAAACTCGGTACCCAACCTTTTATTTTTCAAGATGTGTTTGTTTTTTGGTGACATGGGTTTCTTGCAAACAGATTACATCTAGATTTTTTTTCTTCAAAACATTTTCCACTTTATTTCTCTTAGATGTCCCATTTAACCCGTTAACATTCCATGTTAACAGTTTCAGAGTCATTTTTTACTTAATTAAATTCCAACTGTAAATTAAAGTTCTGTAAATTAAATCCGGTATTCAAAAAAAATAAAAATAGTCATCCAAGGTGGCGGCTGAAAATGAAAAGATCATAAACTTTTACCCCTCGGCACCTTCCGCAACTGCCTGTGTGGGTAGGCCAGTCATGCTGGAGGTTATAAAGTAGGCTGCCACTTATACCCATATGCTCCCTTTAATCCCCAATGGGTATGTTTTGCAGCAAACAGAGGCAAATTCAAAGGGAAGCAAAGATAGCACCCAGAGTCCAAAGTAGCCTGCTTTTCTCTACCAAACTCCACTCACACATATAACACGAACCAAGTGACTAGGCATGGAGAAAGGTTGAAATAACCCTGAGAGTTTTGGCACAAATTCACCCAACGCCCCAGCTGCCAAATTCGATGGTGTTTATTACAGAATAGAAAATGAAGCAAGAGGACAAACGGAAGAGGGAGAATGTTGCTTCAAGAAAATAACAAAGCTAACCTTTTCATTCAAGTCTACCCCAATACAGCTACAGTGGTACCTCAGGTTAAGTCCTTCGTTCCGGAGGTCCGTTCTTAACCTGAAACTGTTCTTAACCTGAAGCACCACTTTAGCTAATGGGGCCTCCTGCTGCTGCCGCACCACCGGAGCACGATTTCTGTTCTCATCCTGAAGCAAAGTTATTAACCTGAAGCACTATTTCTGGGTTAGCAGAGACTGTAACCTGAAGCATATGTAACCTGAAGCGTATGTAACCTGAGGTACCACTGTACTTAGAAACAAGTTTCTGAGCTCATGTGTCAGCATATGGATAGTCAGCTGAGGGACAAAGGACTCTTCAGCAACAGTCACCTTTTAAAGAGTTTCTAGCTCACATAGGTCGTTAACCAGTGGCTGGGACCAGCCGTTCACGTCTGACTGGCTGACGGAGGACACCTTTTGGAAGCCGGAGACAGGCGAGGTGTTGATTACTGCTAGTCATCTCCAACTCCCTTTAATGTGTAGAATGGGAGATGTGACCTTCCCGTTAATGCAGAAGACAAGAGATTAACAAAATAACCTCACTTTCCTCTCCTCCCCCCACAATGACTCCCAAATCTGCCCTGAAGGACTGCAGGAGGGGAGAGAGGGAAGGTGCAGTTCTCTTTCCCAAGACTGAAGTCTGTGCTACTCACACACATGGACTCTGTTTGATACTATCATTGGCCTCGGTTCATGGATTGCATTAAAATAAACCACAATCCCTGGATTGAACATAACTCTAAGGCAAGGATCATGGTTTAGGGATGAGGAGGGAAGCTGCAGTTATCTGGGCATTCATGGTTAACTATGCCTTTTAAACGAAGATATGTGAACACACCCAAAGCAGGTTACATACAATTTAGGGTGGTGCTGTGGGTTAAACCACAGAGCCTAGGGCTTGCCGATCAGAAGGTCGGTGGTTCAAATCCCCACGGCGGGGTGAGCTCCCGTTGCTCGGTCCTTGTTCCTGCCAACCTAGCAGTTCGAAAGCACGTCAAAGTGCAAGTAGATAAATAGGTACCGCTCCGGAGGGAAGGTAAACGGCGTTTCCGTGCGCTGCTCTGGTTCTCCAGAAGCAGCTTAGTCATACTGGCCACATGACCCAGAAGCTGTACGCCGGCTCCCTTGACCAATAAAGCGAGATGAGCACCAAAACCCCAGAGTCGGCCTTGACTGGACCTAATGGTCAGGGGTCCCTTTACCTTTAAAGTACAATAAAAATGATCGCGGGCGGGGGAGAAAGTGAACACACATAAAAGCCCGTACTAAGTAAAATGGTTTCCAGCTACAAGTCCCGCCAAAAAGCCACCAGATTCTGTGCCAAATTAAGGCTCCTTGGGGAGACCATTCCAAGGGGCTGTGCTATAATAATATAGGGTTGAATCCAGAGTTAGTCGTGCATCGAGCAGATCCTTTGAAACCCATGTGAGTTAATTTAATTGTGGCTAATTCAAAAGCCCATTTGTTTTTCCGCAGCCAGTCTGCTCTAAGAATGGCTCTGCCGGGGAGATGTACGGCTCTCCCCGTGTGGCAGCAAATGCAACCAGGCAGCAAAGAGCAAGGCGAGTCTTGCAGCGCCTAAAAGACCAACGGATGCAGACGGGGGTGGCCGCACGGAGTGAGGGGTGGGGAGGGGCTGGCTCTCCTCAAAGGGAGGAGCCTCCTCGGCCGCCTTCCTCCTGCCGCCGGTTTGTTTTCTTCCTGCTTGTTGGCACCGCCTACCAGGGCGGGGCGGAGAGGCCGCGTTTCGAAATTCTGCTCTTGTCCCCTTTGCGCTCGCCGTAGTTCCTCCCAAGATGGCGGCCGCCGGTGACGTGCCGGTTCGAGTTTGCAACCAAGAGATCGTGAAATTCGACCTCGAGATTAAGGCGGCGGTGCAGGTACAGCAGCCCCCGGCCTCGGTCAATACATCGCGGGCGACGGACAGCTACGCGCTTATGCCGGGGTGGGTGGGGCTTCGTGACCACGCCCCTTCTGGGCAACCAGGTTCCCTTAGCGCCGCCCCCTCGCTACGTCCTAGCGGAGTCACGTGGCACCTGAAGGCCAACGCAGTTGCAACGATGCCCGCTGTGGGGCGCTGGCGTGCACTTCTCAGGATGCACACAAATGCCAGTTCAGGGTGACATTCCACGCAATTGATGATCCACACAAATTTCCACGTGCCACAATAGATGCAGTTAAGTCTTTAAGGTGCCGCGTGATTGTGTTGTTGTTGGTGCGATGGCAGTTCTTCCTCACAGCTTTTTGACTGCAGAGGTGTCAGGCTCAGACTCTGGAGAGGTGCCTCCTCAGCCTTTGAAAGTTTCCACGATAGGGGAAGTTCCTGCAACTTCTCCCAGCTTCGGCTCTGTGTTGGAAAAAATCTGCTCACAATGCGATATTCTCTCTTCTGTGCCATAATTGGAGGCGGCACTGGGAGCTGGGGTGTCCGATGGTGGGAGGGCCTCGTGCAATGTTGCTATGTGAGAAACCTTCGGTAGGCATAAGAACCTTTGAGAAATTCATCACACTGTGGATAACTAATTCTTCTTCGCCTCCTGCTCTTTCCCACGGTTGGCACGCAACAACGCAATGATGTTGCCGTAGCTTTCCAGTGCAACCAGCTTCTTAATGATCTGAAAAACATATTTAGTACCCATCAGGGGGTACCCACTGGCATGGTTGCAACTTCATGCGGGCAGCTTGGGCATCAGTTTTGCATGCTGAAACTTTTAATCTGTTTGATTAGGTTCTCTATACAGTAATGTGATGAAACAAGCATGCCCTCTGCTCCTTCCTTCCCTTCCCCTTCAGTTCAGTTCTCACAATGCCAGGCTTCCCTAGGTTCCAAAATTAGGCTAAGAGGGGGCCACTTTATATGCTAGTAAATTTATAAAGAGAAGGCATTTCCAAGTAGGAATTAGAGCTGTAAATGTTAACTGTTGCATGCATTTACTGTTGTGTGCTCACACATGGCGAAGCCATGGATAGGTGTACCTGCCCAGTGAGTGTGCATCCTTGTAAATAATTGATTTATATGTAGGATTGTCATGTTTGCATGAAGCGCATCAGCTACTATGTAACTTTTTATAGCAGTCAGGGCAGCCTTTAGGACTAAATTCACATTGCTTGTAGATAATATGGATGATATTTCTGTGTCAATTTGCAACCTATTGGTGGTTGCAATTTCAACATTTAAAATAAACATTTTGTTTTCTTAAAAAGGTTACACTTTATATTTAAAACAATCAAGCTGGCGATTGAACATACAGCCCAAGAGAACATCAATGTAAAAATGTGTTTATTCTATACACTGCTTGTTATTTCCTTTAGGACATCCGGGATTGTATGGGACCTGTAAGTACACTTACAGAACTGAATGCCAAAGTAAAGGAAAAGTTTCAGCATTTACGGCTTAGAATACAGGTGAGGGCTAAATAGATTTGGGGGTGGGGAGTTGCTAAATCCTAGAATCGTAGAGTTGGAAGGGACCACGAAGGTCATCCAGTCCAACCCCCTGCAATGTAGGGATCTCTTGCCTAATGTGGGGCTCGGACCCATGACCTAGAAATTAAGAGTCTCATGTTCTGCCGACTGAGCCACAAATAAGCTCCCTTTTCTGTTACAGCAAGACTGATTCTTGAAAATAGCATGTCACTAAGCATAACAGAAAAGGGACGCAGGTGGTGCTGTGGTCTAAACCATAGAGCCTAGGGCTTGCTGATCAGAAGGTTGGCGGTTCGAATCCCCGCAACAGGGTAAGCTCCCGTTGCTCGGTCCCTGCTCCTGCCAACCTAGCAGTTCAAAAGCACGTCAAAGTGCAAGTAGATAAATAGGTACCACTCCGGCGGGAAGGTAAACGGCATTTCCGTGCGCTGCTCTGGTTCGCCAGAAGCGACTTAGTCATGCTGGCCACAGATGAGCGCCACAACCCCAAAGTTGGTCACGACTGGACCTAATGGTCAGGGGTCTCTTTACCTTTACCTTTAAGCATAACAGCTTTTTAGAAACCTGGTTCCCATTTCTGTCACTCATAAGCAAAATGTGACCTTAGCTGCCCCAAAGACCCAGCTTTTTGCTGAAAAGGATGTGCTAAAGAATAATTGTGTATAATTTGATTAGGAAAGAAATACCCAAGAGAACAGCTAGACTTTATTACCAAGTAGGAACAACATTGTAATGAATTTTGTTGTTGCTTGTATTAAAATTGAATAAAAATAATATTAAAAATGATAATATGCACCTGCTGTTCATGGATTTGCTTTAGGAGCTTGAGCAGATGGCGAAGGAGCAAGATAGAGAATCAGAAAAGCAAGCATTGCTCCAAGAGGTAGAGAACCATAAGAAGCAAATGCTCAGGTCAGTAAAACCCTAAATATTGTTTACCGCTGGGCTGTATCCAATGCTGTGTCCATGTGCAAGCAAAATGGACTTTCACTTGCACAGCAAGATCACCTTCCTTTCCTCTTTCCTTCAGCCCTCATAATCCACTCCTGAGAGTTGGGGGACCTCTGGAGCAGATTGTGGGGGCCTGCAGGGGAGCAGACAAGGAGGGTAAAGTCCTGTTGTGCGAGCAGGAATCTGTTTGTGCAACATAGAGTTCTTCCCAATAAGTGCTTAGGCTGAGATCTTGTATCCCCTTCTTCCCAATCCTCAATTGGTGTCAGCACCGACAAACTTAGAGCTCTGACACGTGTTTGGCATAGATAACATTTGTGTGCAACAGTGACAGCATGGAGGGTGTCTACGTTAGACTCACAGCACTGTACTGGCTATACGTCTACTCAGAAGTAAGTCCCATTGAGTTCAATGGTAGCTGCATCATTCAGGGCATCCATCCAATACTGTGAGTGTCCTTAGCAACCTTCCAGAAATAGGATGGACTGTTATTTAATTTCTTCGGACATCAGACCTTTTCATTGTTGAGCAGCAGTAGAGCCAGGAACAGCGTTCTCATAGTGTTCAGATAAAGAGTGGAACATAAAAAGGTGAGGAAAATGCAAGATGCAGCTGTTTAATAGTGTTGATATAGCATGTCCGTTAATGATCATTGTTACTTATGTCAAATAATAATGGAGTGCTACGTTTTTAATGTATGCAGTTATCTTTGTTTGCTTTGCTCTTGATACAGACAGGGGTGTTTGTATCACCATTGTGCTAAATCTCACTATATTAATAATTTCAGCAATTCAGACAGCCTGGAGGAAGGCAAATCTAGCTTGCAAAATTGCCATTGACAATGCAGAGAAAGATGAACTGCTTCGAGGTGGAAGATCCTTTACGACAAAGGTACACAGTCTTTTTATAACTGTGGAATTCAGCTGACAGGTGTTATGTGGTGGGACTTCCTCAGCCTTTTGTGTCAAGCTCTGCTTTAGGAGGTCCACTGTTTGCAGTATTGTGCCCACCTACCTACGAGTAGAATCATAGACTTGTAGAGTTGGAAGGAACCACAAGGATCATCTAGTTCAACTCAGTGCAAAGGCAGGAATTTTCCACCCAACACAGGGCTTGAATCTGTGACCCTGAGTCATGCTCTGCTGACTGAGTAGGCCCCGTTTAACTTACTAGCTTCTGAATAGGATTGCACAGTAAGGAGCAAACAGGATCTCAGACCATTAAAATGGTTGCTTGCCATTGTGCCAAGTTAGATGTATTGATCTTTGATTACATTTTAATTTTACCCCTGTACTTCAGCCAGATGGCTATTTTGGACGAAATCTTTAAAGATTAAGCTAAACCTTGTATGGATTATTTGCCCTGATTTCTAATTTAAGACTTATTTTGAAACAGAAGGTTAAAGGCGTATGCTTGCATTTGTATGTGTATCTGAATGCTTGGCTGATATCTTCCAGCTCTGTGGTTCCCATCACTTTTGAAGCATTTTGAGTAATCGGGAATATAATTTTGTTTTTATATTAAGTTTGATTCCCACCCCCTTCTTTTCTTTTAGAAAAACTACAAAGGAAAGTTTGGCAGAGGGGGCCAGCAACATCACAGAGAACCTGATGGGTATTAGCAGGATGATGTCTCAGCAGGTACGGCAGAGTGAGGAGACGATGCAGACCTTAGGTAAGTAAATGATCACAGTGTGCAGTTTTGGTCATTGTTGTTGTTAATAATAATAATAATATAAAATAATAATAATTCCAAAGACCTCTTTGGCGGCAGGCAGAGAACAATGGAGAGGAACATAATAAGTAAACACACAGGGAAACAGGGGCTGGTGGCTATCATTCTCTTATCTCTTTTAAAAATATTGGTTAATATTCCCCAGGAGTTGAGAGGGGAAGAAGTCAAAGCAGATTAGCTGTTTAGGAGAGAGAGATAAACAAGCAGAATTGGCTTGCTGGGAGCTGCTAAGCCCGCTTCCCAGCAGGAGGGTCCCTGCAGCTTACTGGGAAGGAAAGTCGGCAGGGGAGACGCAGCAGGGAGATCTGCGCAATGAAAATGTTCAGATGGAGCTAATTCGGTGTTCCTGCTGGTGCTTTTGCACCTCACCAACCATCTTGCCGCCCACCTGTGGGGAAGCTAGCGTAGCGGCTCCACCTCACCTGACAAGCAGCTTCCATTAGCAAGGGATGAAAAAAGACTGCCAGCAACACTTTATCTGTATGTGCTATTTCTCTCTCCAACCCAAATTTCCCTGCCTTTTTTTAATTATTTTTTTGGAGAGTGGGTTCAGAATTTCTGTTGAGCAGAACCCTGGATTGGTGATTGTCACCTGCGCAGCGTCTCTTGGGACAGTTTGCAAAAGGAGGTGTTCCTCATGACCTGAGCCTCTACCTTTCTGCTGAGTTACCTCAGGGAAGCTTTGAAGGCTGTTCAGGTTTAGACAAGCAGCTGTAAACTGCAGGGGTTCATCTAAGCTCTCACCA